AACGTAAAGTGACCACAATCCAGTGGAATATATGTACTTAAAAAGTTGAGCAGCATGTGTCTTCTTAGACACTGACCACCTCTAGGTATGTAGATAACAAGTCATACATTCTCAATGATGACCACAAAAAATGCCTCGGGGCCAAACCAATCAATATAAAACAAATACAGTAGTATGACCCACTGCTGTCATGCTACCAATACACAACTGACTCTGATGCACTGACGGGGGCCCAAAGAAATACAGGATAGGCAACTTGTGGACACACATGATTTTCTATTTACAAGTTCTGACATCATAGTCAGTGCTGTTGGTAACCTTCATCTACATGTAAAAGATATGGAGAATGAAGAAACTATGACATTCCACTACCAAAAAAAACAGAAACTTTCCTCCCCAAATGGCTCATGAGTGTCAAGTCGTTTTGATGATTAACCACATTTTATATGAAATGGGGCCATTGGTACCTTCAAGAGACTGAATAACATTAGCAAATACAATATATACAAAAATATGTAATTTAGTTTAACTTAGTGTAAAAAAGGTAAAAATAATAATACTGATAGATCTCAACATAGCATAGTATTCTGATAGGTCTCAACACAGCATAGTATTCTGATAGATCTCAACAAAGCATAGTATACTGATAGATCTCAACACAGCATAGAGTATACTGATAGATCTCAACACAGCATAGCATTCTGATAGATCTTAACACAGCATAGTATTCTGATAGACCTTAACACAGCATAGAATTCTGATAGATCTCAGCACAGCATAGCATTCTGATAGATCTCAACACAGCATAGCATTCTGATAGATCTTAACACAGCATAGTATTCTGATAGACCTTAACACAGCATAGAATTCTGATAGATCTCAACACAGCATAGAATTCTGATAGATCTCAACACAGCATAGCATTCTGATAGATCTAAACACAGCATAGCATTCTGATATAGATCTCAGAACAGCATAGTAATCTGAATCAGATACATTTTTCAACACATAATAGTACAGACTTAAAAACAAGAGGCAAAAAGATTCCTTACTTCAATGTTATCAGGAAACATTACTTAAGCAAATATCAATGAAACCAGGAATTAATTTTAAGAGTTTAGCAAGTGATGAAAAATTTACACACACAACTTGATTAGGTATTTTACCCCTATATGGTGTTCTTGTACATGAAGGGTGCTGTATACAAAATTTTACAAACAAACCTACAGGACAGTATTTTCTATAGACTAATGTTACTAAAAAGTCATTTTTTTCTAAGTCCAAGGGGCATTACTCTGTCAAAAATTGCTTGATTGTACCCAAAACAGAATTTAAATATTTTAATGAAAATCTGTATACCAAATTTCATTTTAGTATGTGTAACCTCTGCAAAGAAAATGGAAAACAGAAACTGTTTGTGGACCAACAGGTAGACAGACCAACTCACCGACCAACAGACAGCAACAAAGCATTATGCCCTCCCTTCCTCAAATGGAGGAGGGGGGGGGAGATCAAAAGATTTTTGTTTATGTTTCAGTCCATTATGGGCTTTACTAATAACTATATACTCTGCATATTTTTGAGCTATAAGTGATCAGAAAATATTATATATAAGACGTCCTTCTACATTCTTCCTTTGATAAATGAAAACAATTGCATCTTAATGAAATTATATTCAATAAAGAATTTGCTGCCCTTAATTTTCATTGAAATCACACATTCAGATCTGGTAATTTCTTTCCTGCAAAAAACATTCAAATCGATGTCCCCATTTTTCAAGGAAATACCCTTCAACAAGTATTGAGCCAGAAAGTTACTGACCGAGAGAACACCGCTAGCTAATTATAAATTCTAGACACTAGAAATAATAATGAGCTAAAACAGCGACTTACCCCGCAGTGTGACCAGGCGTTTGTGACGGGTGATTTGTTACGAACTCGTGGCACAACCAGCCCTGCCTATTACCCCTTCATTTAAACAGCTCTACTCCTTACTACCTCTTCAATGTAGCCATTGTAGCGCAACGGCAAAACATATCTGAAAGTCGATGAGGCATGACCCATTTCAAAATTCCCTGCAATCCACCCACATTTCAAAAAGACACACACACACACCTCATCATATTATTATATAAAGACATCACTATTCTGGTCTAAATACATCTGTCAATTCTGAGAAAATAAAAAAAGTTTGAAAAACAAAATTTCCCATAATGGCAATATATAATAACCAATATTATTGACCAGCAAAGGGCCTCTTTGCACAACTGTATTCTGTCTACACGCATAACCCACATATACCCTACAGCTGTTGGACTTCCCATCAGAAACAATAGACGTACACTTTATAGGGCCCCGTGCTCTGGGAGCTCCTATAGGGACCTAGATCTATCAATGTTTCAATAGCCTCCGAGATCACAGGGACTGCAGGGACCACTAATTATCAATGTTTCATAGCGGCGTTCTGACGAGATCAGGGGGCAGCTTTACTAACATCAAAGTGGACCGCCATGTAAAAAACATAACCAATGTGATATACTGATACATTTACAGAGCAGACCTCAGCTGAAATGTTTCTGTAACATGAAATGGTCCTTTTTCTCCTCTGGAAGCTATATACTGCAATCTCTGTACTGACTTCAATTGTTTGTTTGAAATAGATCAGAAATATTTTTCCTTAAATGGAATCAGTCAATGGTCAATGTTATTGTTAACTTGATTTATATAACAGACATATCCATTGTGTATTTTGTTCATTTGTGTCATCTCTGGCAATAATGAGGTAATAAGGTAAATAATATATTTGAAAACATCAGTACAATTTGTGCAATAAAAACCAAGCTATTAAGGCAAAGACAATTGTCAATGATAATTAAGAAAAAAAAAACAAACAAACACACAAAAAACCCTATTTAAATCATAGATCAACTAAATCACCATATGTCTGGATAAATATCAGAATTGAAAATTGAAGTGCAAATTGATAAATCTCTATATTGTACAACATAATACCTTAGAATTTGATATGTATAGACAATTTATATGCTAATAATTTCTTTAATAACTTCACTGATATTTTCCAATTCCCTTTGAAGGGCCCCATTTGGTAGCTTTTGTAAAGCTCTGACAATTCTTACCAATCGTTTAAACCTTTAAACCATTACACAAACATTGAAAATTCAGTCATAATTGTAACTCACTCAAAAGAAAAGAAAAAAATCTATTATCTAAACATAGAGAAAAACTTGTACAAGCTTGATTGGGCTCAATTATTGATGAAAAGGGTTACCGGGGGAACAAGGTAACTTGTTTGAAGCAAACACAATTCTATCCGTCCTGCTTCAATGATTTATTGACCCGATTCTGTTACATGATTACCTAAACAAACTTTTAAACAGGGCTGCACTGGATATCAATACAGCATCCTAATAATATTCATACATGCTCTGGGTTTGATAACAAACTCGCTGTTTTTCAGATGGAGCGAGCAGGGCTATATTGACAAGCCCGTTTAGAAGAATATACGGTATTCTCACGTTTCAACGCACAATCAATTTTTTGACAACTGTTTAGACTTGCTCAAAAATGTTTTTTTTTCTTCTTTTTGTCAATGCAATATCAAAGGCTTTGTATACTGAGTATTACTTCAAACCTCAATGAACATTTACAATACTAACTATGAAAAATTCATATTTTCTCCTGTAGAAATATAAGCATTCTTCATCCCCCCTCCCCCCTCCCTAATCTTATCTTTTTGGCATGATAAAAATCAAGTTCAACTTAATAACAAATTGTTTTATCTGGTTTTGATTCACTTCTCATTTTGACAGGATAAAAAGGGAACTAATCCTTGCAATAACTCTAGAGTCTAGAGCAGAATAATATTCCATACATGTATACAAATACGACGCTACCAAAGGGAGATAAATTAAATTTATCATGCTGACAATATTAGGATTCAGCAAAAATAGTAAACACACTTACAAAATAATGCTTCTCATTTCATGTATGTGTACAATATCAAGTGCTAGCTCATAAATGGTTAGAACTGAGATGCAATAATGATGAGGCTCATGGGAAAAAAGGTGGAAAACCTGCCTTTTTTTGAGGGGAAAAAGTAGTAAAAGGCAAATTTCATTGAAGTTATATTGCCTGACAATGATATGATTATTGAAAGTGACAATTTTTACTTTAAAAGTATGAGCATTCAGATTTTCATTTATTAGAGATGCAGAAAACGACCGCAGCAGACAAAAGAATGGCAACTTAACATAATTCACAATTGCTGCCGAATTGTGATGATCTATAAACTTGTTTTGATGATCAAGTAAGCCCTTTGAGCTAAAGGCCAATGAAATAAGCCAACAGAATGACCCTTAATTCAATTACCCTCCTCCTCGACAACACCAGATCACCCAAGCATTTGGAAATTCCCTGAACAAATAGTTAATTCATTATCCAGCCTAGAATCAATTTCCACCATTCGCTTCTCTGTATAACAAATGTATAAATCTACTGAATCAATACAAACACTCTAATGGGAAGAAAAAAGTGAAAGCTCAACAGCAATAGACTATATATCTTAGCATTGCCACTATCCCAGCACTGAAATCCAGGAACACTATCATCATATCTGTTATACGGCCTCCTCCTGCCTCAATTTATTGCATTCTGTACTTTTGGTGAAATTACCATGTTTAGGCCTGTGTTCTGTAATTTTTCTCCTTCATAAACAAAAATGATTATGAATTTTTCTTCCCAACAACATGCAGGGTCAAATGCTGTTGCAAGTTATGAAACCAAATATTCTTTCCAGTTTCAGGTACTGAAGAGATTACAACCTTTTCTTCCAGTTAAATCAAATATTACAGTCAACTGAAAGAGACTTTGATCACAGTTTCTTTAGAATATTATTACTTTATACAGGGTGATAAAAATAAATATTTGAACAATTATTTGAGATTCAAATTAGTAAATGGACATAACCCACATCCCTCCTACCTCAGCTTCACTGGATTGTCTCCTCTTGTTCTGTCCATTTCCTGGTGAGGATGACCTTTGGTGGAAACCCTCATCTTTGTTGCTATTTTTGGACGAGGACCTCTTCCCTGGAGATCTGCTTCTGTCGGAGAGTTTTTCTGGGGACCTGTTCCTGGGGGTTATTGGTTCTTGAGGTTTTCTAGAAAGTATTACATATTATTTCCTTTAGAACATGAGAAGAGCCTCTACAAGAACTTAAATTAATGTAATAACAATGCAATACATGTACAGCAAATAAATACTTGAACATAGTAAACTTGATTTAGGGTTTTGTTTTTAAAATAAAAATCCTTGAAATAGCCAAAAAGTAAACCTTATCTGTTAAAAAAAAAGTGCTTTGCGTCATATTTATTGCCTCTCCCACCCACCTCTCGTCCACAGCTGAAAGAACATTGGCCCAAGAACCATAGTATCAATTTTACTTGGCGATATTCAGTATATTTTAACAAATGCCATCAAGTAAAATTTGTTAATTATAATAACTAATAAGTCAAATAAAACCATGCATCATTCATTGGTTAATAAGTCAGAAGTTAAATAGATTATCATTAATGGAGAGCAGGCAACTTGGACAGGTGATAACACATACATTTTTCATCCAACTTAATTTTACAACATTACACCCTGGTCTGATGAGTGACTGACTTAATTAATTCTTCTCTTTTTCAGCAGTGCCACAATAAGTCACTGTGACCTAACAAAGTAAAACATTTTTCTAATGTGTGGGGAATGATGCTCAAAAAAATATGCATCATTTGAAGCCCTACTATAGCATTTAGAAACTTTATAAAGTGGTTAGGTCTTTGAGGACAATATTTTAGAAACTTTAACATTAGCTAATCAATTAAAAACAAATGGCAATGATTGCCAAATTCACAAATTACCTGATTTGATTTACTGTATAAACCTTGTGTAATGAAGTTCAAAATGGGTGAATCAGGGGTAGAAATTCCCTAAAATTGTATTTCTCTAGTAATTGTGAGTACCATAAAAATGAACTCTCAATTAAGACAACTTGCAATTTTAAGATGAAAGCTTTTCAAAAATAAACAGCCATCTATCCATCTCTTAAAAGACTTTGTAATTTTCAACATGATCAAGGCAAATGCTCATTCATTTTAAAATGGCAGATGTAAACGGTAACTAACGAGAGAAAGACTAAAACCGGGTTGAAACGGATGTTTCTTTCCTGGGTAAAAATTACAATGAAAAAATCAACTCGCAAATTTTTGCGGGTTACAAATATTTCAATTTAATTAACTCCCAATTTGGATATTCTAAACTCTGTTAATTTAATGTAACTTGAATTTTGCATTTCGAACCCTGTGAATACAATTTGATTAATAAATCTAACTTTAAAATTCAAAGTCACTGAACTTTTTAAAAAGACTTTCTTATTAAAATGTATCATTCTATACATGTATAACAATCTACATGTACACCATGTGTACACACTGCAATAAAAAATATTCAAATCCTGGCTTGTGATTACTTGAAAATCAAAAAATGTTTATTAATTACTCCATTTCCAACTAAACCAATAAAATGTGTATATGTGGTTCATTTACTGTATAATCAGGATCACAGGATAAGAACTTATTAAACAAGAAATATACAGAATTGTTGTAATGTCACGTATCATGTTAATTAGTATATTGAACAAATTACTGTAGCTCAACTTACAATTTTCATGCTTACATGTACAAACTTTACCATAAATTAAAATATCAAACCAATTATTTATAACAGTTGTTAAGAACAAAGTTAGTAATTAAATTTCAATAACTTGTTATACATCATTCAACATTCAGCAAACTGAACTGTTAATTTCATCAAACCACTTTCACCTGAATCCACTTCTCTAAGTCAATAAGCCTGTAAAGTTCAAAGTGTATTAGTTTCTAAATCTATATCTATAATTAAAACTTACACCAAACTTTATTGTAATGAAAGAAATGTCAATTAAAGATATATTCAGAGTTTCTAGAAAATTCTGGAAGAACATATTTGGTAGAATGGGGTGTGTTGGTTTATTTAATTTTAAAAAGTTTGTAATCCTTTACATCAAAATTAAAAATGAACAATTCACAAGGTTAAGGTGGACCACTGAATGCAAAGCTAAGTCATACTATGTTCTTAAACCATGAAGATGACGTATTATACAAGCAATTATATTGTAACAGGTATGGAAAAATGTCCGCTACTGGTATATTGAACCCGGGAAATCCGCCTAACCCTGCAATGCTTGTTTTTATTGTTTGTTAATACATATTAAAGAATATTTATATGATACATTGTAAATACTTTTTAAAAGATTTATGATATTGGTAGTAGTATTTATATATAAAAAAAGAAAACCTATAAAAAAGTGTACTGAATTTAATCTCCACAAAAACCAAAGTCTTACCTACTGACCCTAAAACAGTTAGCTCAGTGAAATGAGCATTTTTTAAGGATGGTGAAGGGACAAGGTGACACAACTCTCTCATGCCTTAACCAATTTTCATAATGTGAAACTAACTTTTAAAATTAACTCCAAAACTCTTCTCTAAAATTTTCTAAGTTCTTTCCTTGGTAGATGGCACGGAAAGGAGAATAAGACCATAACAAATTTCGTTGGAAATGTAAACAATATCCTTAAGAAGTAATGTACTGTTTATTAAAAAAACAAAAGAATGAAAACACAGTGGATTTTACATCAAAATTAAAAATGACCAATTCACAAGGTTAAGGTGGACCACTAATATATGCAAAGTTTTATTAAAAATACTCAAATACACTTAAACCATGAAGATGACATTGTGCAATATGCATTACTTGAATTTTAAATTGCAAAAACACTGGTATTAAAAAATGTCCACCAGAAAATATTGAAAATATAATTCCAATATTGATCTCTAATGTAAACACGACGGACGACATAACTTACACGGGTAATGTTGGTTCATAATCCGGAAGATACTGCTTTAAAACCGCTGGTAAACTGCTGCTTAAATGGTCGGCTGTTTTCATTTTTAATTCATTCATATAGTTTATACATTATTTAATATAATTATTCACATTCCCCCCCCAAAAAAAAACCCCACCAACCTACCTAGTACCTACTGACCTCTAAAATAGTGAGTAGCGTTACCAAATATAAAACATTTTTTTAAGGATGGCCTAGAGGTACAAGGTGACACAATTCTCTCCCTGCCTTAACCAATCTCATCATAGAAATAAATCCTCAAATAAATTAAACTTTTGAACCCCAATATCTATTCAATTTGTTATATTTTCTGAAAAAAGACAAAATTATGGGGGGGGGGGGGGGGGGAAATTTTTGTATCAGTATAATCACCAATGTGCAATGAAATATGAACTAGACTTTAAACAAAAGAAATTATTATAATTGTGCATATTCACTGAAATAAAAACAATAAAAAGAATGTATACTGTTAATTAAAAAAAATAAGCTCTTAAATTGAAAACACAGTGAGTATAAGATATACAAAACAAAAACTTCAGAGTCAAAACTTTGTGTATATCAAATGTATTTGGAAGATCAACATCGAACTGAGGAAATTCGAGCTAATATATAGCACAGTTTTATTAAAAATACTTCAAATACACCATTAATTTTCAATGAACAAGACATTGTGCAACTGAAGCATTACTTGAATTTTACTTTAAATGGCAAAAATTGCAAGCATGTAAGAAAATAAAAAATTTCTATGGAAAATATTGAAAATATATTTCCAATATTGATCTCTAATGTAAACAGAGTTGTTGCATAACTTAGCAAGGTAATGTTGGTCATAATCCGGAGAAGAGTATGTTTTGTGATAAATAATTTTTGTGATATAATGCTTATAATTGATTTTGTTCTTTCTCAGCTTGATGTTTAATTTCATTCATAATTTATACATATATAATTTATATTATTATTTGATAAAATTGATCAATCTTAAGTGAGCAGTGAAGGGTATAACAAAACAGTGCTCAACTATGGTAACTTCCTCTCACGTGACACCTATGAAATTAACATTCCCGCCAAATTTTAGAGCAACGTTGTTGATTACTCATTACCCAGTCAATAACTGTATATTGTTAAGTGATAAAACCATCTATATACTTACTAATAAAAAGTCCAACAAAAGAAATGTTTATTACGTCGGTCTAACAATTTCACTATTGACCGGTCTTACATCAAGCACCAGTGATTTTTATTAGACTATAGTATAATCACAAGGAAATGATATCAACAGTCTTTAAACAAAAGAAATTATTATAATTGTTGCATTTAACAGCAAGGTAAGGTAAAAAGAATATATATTTTGTGATAAATAATTTTATCATAAATAGACTTATAATTGATTTTGTTCTTTTAAAAGCTTGATGTTTATATTTACTGAAGAAGCCATAATTTTCCATATATAATAATTGATAGTATAGCGTGTATTGATAAAAGTGAGCAGTGAAGGGTATAACAAAACAGTTATAGACTAGGATTCGGGCAACATATGATTTGTTGGACCTGAAGATGAAAATGTTGCCCTTGGCCTGCGGCCTCCAAATTTTACAGGTCCAACAAATCATATGTTTCATTTTCAATAACTTTTTTGACCAAGGGGGCCCAGAGTTGTCGTTCGCTTCGCTACAACAAGTATAAGTGGAACGATAACTGTTGACTCAAGGCACGCGTGCAGTATAGGCGGATTTGGGGGACCTACTCTTCCAAAATAATATTTTACTGTTGATAATGTGCATTGAAAAGCTGGTCATTAATTAGCCATGCACCCACCTTTTTTGCAGTATAGTCAAATAATATGTGTGAAAGAAGTGAACATGGACAAAATAACACCCCCCCCCCCCCCAGCGTGGTCCCTCATTTCCTTTTCCACAGTCCTTCGCCAGGTGTTCTTTGGTCGACCAGGTTTCCTCTTCTCTTCCAGTGTCCATCTAAAGTATCAGTCACATTATCCAGCGATGGGGTATACGATGAGAAACCGATGCGTTTCTTGATAAAAATGGCGTGGTTGCCGGCCGGACACCTATAGTAATCGGACGGTGACTGGGGCCATTTGGCGAATCGGTGGGGTCATCGGTAAGAAATAAGTTGTAGTTAAAAATCAGCGATGTCTCCACCGATGCCCCACATCGGCAACCCATCATTAACACATCTTTCAAGGATTGGCCGATGTATGGCCGATCATCCTCAAGTGTCCGTTGAATCTGAGGTCATCGGGGGGCTGAGTGGTGGGCAACAGACATCAGCCGATCATCGATCAATATTCGACCAAACATTGGCGACCGACGTATGAACGATTTTCACCAATGTATGAGCGATGTAATATACTAGTACATCTGCCGATTTACCTGGAACAAAGTTTTATGATAAGCAATGCATCGCTGATCGCTGGGCCTTTGTCAGTCCAGTCGGCAACCACGCCATTTTATCAAAAAACGCATTGCATGGTTGCCCATCGTAAACCCCATCGCTGGATAATATGACTGATACTTTAAGGACTACTAGGCCGATGTGGACCGATGTTAGGGCATCGCTCACACCACAGATTACCACCGGTCTACGGCCACCGGCCGGGAAATGTGACTAAGGCATAAGAGCTACTTCGGTGATGTTGTTGGCTTGTTTCCTTCTCACATGCCCTAGAACCATCGCCATCTCAGCTTTGTCAACAAAGTTTTCATATCGTCTGTGTTTGCTTTCTCATGTAGTTTAACATTGATATTTTTATGCCTCTGTAATCAAAGATTCGGGGCTATATAGATTTTGTCGTGTCCGTTCGTCCGTCCGTCTGTCTAGCTGTCTGTTTGTCCGCAAAAACTTCAACCTTGCCCATAACTTTTGATTTAGTGAAGCTATGATTTCCATATTTCATATCTGTATTCCTTCTTGTGACAAGACCTTTCTTTGGGTACCACCAAATATGACCTTTTGACCCACTTATGAAAAAAATTCCAAACTTTTACTTTGGCTATAACTTTTGAAGGTAGATACTATGACCTTCATACTTCACATATGTAGTCATTGTGGCAAGTCTTTTCATTGGATATCAACAACTTTGACCTTGACCTTGGAGATTTCCGTACTTATGAAAAAACTTTAATCTTGGCCATAACTTTTGAAGGGTAAAGACTAGGGCTTTCATACTTCACATATGTAATCCTTGTAAAAAGACCCTTTATTGTATACCAAGAACTTTGACCCTTTGACCTTGACTTTGGAGTTTGACCTACTTTTATAAAAGATCGTTACCATAACTTTTAAAGGGTTAGGGCTAGGACTTTCTTGCTTCACATATTTAATCCTTGTGACAATATGTTTCATTTGATATCAAAAACTTTGATCCTTTGACCTTGACTTTTGAGTTTGGCCTACTTTTTAAAAAAAAAATCATAACCTTGGCCATAATATTTGAACGGTTAGGACTATGGCTTTTATACTTCACATATGTAATCCTTGTAACAATAGACTTTTCTGAAGAAACCAATAACTTTGACCTTTTGACCTTGGAGTTTGATCTACCTTTCAAAAAATTGTCTTTGGCTATGACTTTTGAACAGGTGGTGCTAGGGCTTTCGGAGTATTCGTTTGTTACTTGTTAGATACAAAATATGGCCGTTAGACATTGAATACCTTAAGAAAAGTTTAATCTTTGCTATGCTGCCATACGGGGGCATCAATGTTTCACAAACACATCTCTCTTCTTTTTTTTTGGCCATTCATTGTGGAAACTAGAAGCCTGCATATGCCTATTCATTCTCCGGGTTGTTTGGTGTTCAATGACATAACTTCAGTTTTCTTGTTACTGATTTTCAGTCAATTTCTTCCCTGCATAACTCTGTTATTTTGATGTTTTACTTTGCATACTAGTATTGCCATTGTGCATCTCCTATTTTACTTTTTTGATCGGACACATATTTCGGGTTTCCCAAGGCAAAGCATTGACACAGACATTCTTTCTACAATATTAAAGTGGTGACAACACAGGAATAAGATGGACTCTTTTTTCCAGTCTTGAAGACCTAGACTACGCAGATGACTTGGCCCTACTGTCATATCTAGAAAAGCATACTAGTATGTAACTAAGATTCTGTGAAGATTTCATTAAATTTCAATCAGTAGTGTAAGAGGAGTTGCAGAAAGGAGACTGGCTCCTAAATATCGTGACAGACGGACGGAAGGACGGACATCTCGATCACTATACACGCTCCCACTTTTCAAGCGGGGGTATAAAAAGTCGGCATATGAAAGGAAGTTACTACATGTATTGTCAATTAATCAAAACATCGTTGATATACCCAAATACAGAGTTGAAAGCCACAGTAAGTGTTTTCTTCTCACAAACCTGACATGTTCCTGAATAACTTTTTCATATTAATACAGAAATATATCTACATGTACTTATAACGGAGCGCAATTTGTACCCATGAGAATTCCAACAGATTGTTGGAAGACCTTGACACTAAAAACTACATAGTTACTGTCAATCAGAAACTAAAGCATATTAATTATATCAAAATGACTGGTGTGCACAACCAAATGTTTTTTTTAACAAGATAATCTTGTAAATGACCACTGACAAGGTAAGTAAATTAACGAGTTCCTTTCTTTAAAAGAAGAGGCAGATGTCTATGGTGTCAAAATGCCTAGACTCCAAACTATCGTGGGGAATCGTTGAAATGTCGGTAAAAATTTATGTTATTGATTGTGGTTAATTTAAAGTTTGACTTTTTAAGAAGTTTCTTGAAATTTTAATTACTACCGGAGGATATGTATCCACATTGGATTTACACCACTTCTCGAATATGTTGTTGCGCAATACTCCTGAATGAAACATATGGAGATAACGAATAGTATTCAAGATAGAAAATCCATAAAACAATACAAAATAGGAGCAGAGCAAACACGGACCACATCAGAAACATCATGGAAGTGAGCATCAGGTGCCGGTCACAGGCCGTGTGTTCCTTATCATTATCAGGAAGAATCCATCGTCAATTAAGTGTATAAATAATGGACTAACAATTAGTATGTAAAATGTCAGTGAGCATTTGACTCAATATTGTATTTGCTGACAAGGTCATTGTATCGACAAAATGATGACTTTAAAGTTTAAACGAAACTGCTGATATTCTTGTTTCATCAACTTGTTTGTCAATAATTTACCTCGTTTCAGAAATTGTTCATACGTAGAGCAAGCTTTTGCGTACCGAATCAACTGAGATATGTAAACTCCGTATGAGGCGATGAAGGAATATTGCTGCATACGTAAGGGGAGTTGACGATAGAAAACTTAAAGTGCTCACGTTTATCATAGAGCTTGGTTGCTAGATTGCCCTCAACGTCTTTTTCAAGTTAAATATCCAAATATGAAACAGATGTGTCAGACTGTTTGGAATCTTTTATCCCAAGCTCACCAAGATATATCATATCGACATAAGAATAGAAATTACCATACGTCGATCGTCGATATATCTAAATGTCAAGGTGAAGGCCACAGCAAGTGTTTTATTCTTATCACGCATAAGATTTTGGACAAATTCTGCTTCACATGAATACAAAAATAGGCCTGCTAATGGCGGGACACAATTGGTACCCATGGGAATTCCAATAGATTGTTGGAAGACCTGGTCTCCAAAAACAACATAGATATTGTCAATCAGAAACTCAAGCATCTTTTTGATGTCAACTTCAGAGTACATGTACTTGTGTGTACAAGCAGAATGATTTTGAACTAAATAATTTTGCAAATGACCAATGACAATAAATGTAAATTTAATAGTTCATTTTCTTTTATTGAAAAAGCAGCTGTCGATGTCAATAAAGTTTCTCCTTCACTGCTGTTAACATTTCTTAAAAGGCTTAGTAGAACATTCGCTGGAACCTTCTATGTATGTTTTATGAAGCTCAAATATTCCAAACTAACATAGGAAATGAAGAATGTGCCCCTTAGAAAGGGAGATATAGTTGGATAACCATTTGCAGAATTAAATCACAGTATCCCTAGTATACTTTTAAAATAATGAGCCTTACAAACAAATACAACGTTACTATCTGCTTTGTCAGCACTTGGGTAGCACAGTAGGATTCGAACCCACGACGTAATGATCAACTCCTTGTTTCGCGACTCTAGAGTAGACGCTCTAACCACTGCACAGCGCGGGCAACTTAATTTATGGAGAAGAATTATTCTATGTAAATTGTATGACAAATGAGATGACTTTGAACAGCTCTTTCATTAACAACTTCTCCTTATTTATGTAGCAATATTCCACTATTACCTGCATATGGTGTTTATTTCTCCCAAGTAATTCGCTACATAGGAGTTGATGTTACATAAGTTGAGGAATTTCAATAACACCATTTAAAGTCAGAAAATTGTAATTGCTGTCGTCGTTATAAAAGTCGTCATAGCAAATATAACCGTCTTCTTGATCAATACATAGGGCTCAAGGCGAGTGAGACCAATCAACAGGAAACGTGTCCTCCTCAAAGGGACCTGATTCCATTTCTGGATCGAACTTCCAGGGCCGGGTTTATGCCCTGTTCAAAGATTTGTATTTGATCAATCACTGTTTATTATCTTCATTCATTTTCATTGATTCATTTGACATATTTTTTTTTAACTCAAAGTAAAACAAACAAAGGCTGTCACATCTTTTTCTTTATTTTCAAGAAAACGACATTCATTGCAGCATAATAGAAAACCCAGTTAAACATTAGGCAAAGATAAGTGGCTGTTCCATCAATGAAACTTCTCTTGCATCATTAATACAATAATTAAACTTTTTTAATCCTTCTTTAAATGATTATTTAAACAGATATAGATATAAACAATAAAATGTCTTTCTTTGTTTGTTATGTAATTTTTTTCTGCAATAGCTGCGACCGTTAATTCCAATAATAACAAACAAAGAAAGCATTTTATTGCTTAAATAATAGAAAAAAAAGGATGTAATTGTTACATCTCTCATGCATACAGCTGGTTCTACAGTACCCCTGGTGCTTCAAGTGGTCCTGTTTACAAATATGTACCATCTGTGCTTTTGTTTCAATGTAAAAGGTATAGATAATGAAACTATGATTGATCTTTAAAAATGAAGAGGGGAAATATAACGCGGACCCCTGGAAAATTCAGAGGCGGAATCAGGTGGCTGAAAGGGGTAAGAATCCCCTTTTGACCGGTGTCGCTGGTTCCCCCACTATGTGAGTCCTATGTATTATTTCAAGTAGATGGAACTTTGGCAGTCAATTGAGTGTAAAACAAAGACCTAACAATTGGTATGAAACAGTCAGCTAAAGTACAACCCATGCAATTAATAATATGAAATCCTTCCCTTTACTACCCAAATGCTGTCGTTTCTAAGTTGAGATTCAGTCTTCTTGATGAAGCAAAGATATCATTATTTTGGATAGCTTAGAAGGGATATGTTTTAAAGTAGGTTGATAGGTAGGGTGTTTGAAATCACGCTTCTAAGTGCAAAGGAGGAACACCACTTGCTCGTACATTATGTGATTTATGATGTTTACAAGAGACAAATAGCCCAACATATTTGCAGACTACAGTGTACCTGACCAAATGATTATGAACATCATCAACTTGACATGATTCACTTTCAACAGAAATCAACTGATCTGGTCATTACACATAAAACACTTAGTTCAGTCCAGTCTTTTTCTGTAAAACTTTGCAAATGTTTTATGAAAGCAAATCGTAATCTACATTGTATAACATGATACCACTGGTACATGAACAACTAGTTCCAGGATTTTTTTTAAAATCACACAGAGGGAGAAAGAACTAAAACCAAGAGATTATTACCATGTCAGTAGGAATACTAGTACCAACACTGAGAAGAAGGAAGATTTAGAAATGTCAATGGCTACATTTTTAATTGCTTGCTATAAAGTACATGTATTTTTTCGCTAGAAATATTTTCCAACAGTAAACCGAAAACTGGCATTGAAGGAACAGGAAGTCATGCCTAGGACAAACTCATCACACATCGGAAGGAAAGGCAAGAATCAAGGGATAAATCGAATTGTACGTTGTGATCAGCGGGGTACTGGGAAACGTACGGTTGAAGGAAGATTCCAAAATGTCCTTAATGATATTCTGCACTACTTCCTACCAGAAGTAATCGTTCAGTCTTTAACAAAATGGCCGAAAATAGATAAATTATTTTGCATAATTTTTCTTCCACAAGACAACAGTATGGTACTTCTTCCGATTATAAATATTAATTTCTCAAAGATTCACATTAAAGGACAAGGTATGGTAACAGTGGAATTTGGCCACTTATAATTTAATGCAAAAATCAGAAATCATCTCTAATTGTTATACCGGTAGTTTGTAGTAAAGAACTTAATATGATGCTTGTTTTAAAACTACTACTAATTTTGATTCAAAGCTGATGGGGGGGGGGGGGGGGGGGGCATAAGAGAGTTCAGATGTAGGACATTTTTCCAAATTGTGGTGGAATTTTATCAAATTTGGAATACTTTTCATTTTGGGAAACATAATTTGTAGCACAAGCTTGCCTATCTGAGACTTTTGTACAGAAGATGCATTTTATACTACTATAGTGTATGAAATATAAAAATTTGGTAGAGGGGCATGTGTGTGCTCTATATCTTCTGAATCAAAGTATGCTGTAAAATGGTTGAAAATTTAGTTAACTTACATAAAAATGAGAAAATCTGGAAAATTGACATATTTTCTGACCTTCCTGTGACCCCAGTGTATTCCATAACTTAGAACCAGTACTCATTTTTTGGTAGGGATGACAACCGATTCTTATTGATAAACTGTTGCATCATTCTAAAAGACATCCCAAACCAGGGACCAAAAAAGGTAGCCTATCTTATCCTTTATATGTTTTGAAATTGGATAATTACAGATGCCATGCAATTAGTCAGGTTTGTTTGTCTCCATGTGACCAGTTCAGATGGAAGGAGCACCTGTCTATAATACTGTGTATAAGTAGTCCGGAACAAGAGGTCGACAACATAGTCTGGTCGAGTGGAGTATTTTCCCTTTATGTAATCATCTAATGATTTGCCCACAATTATAATGCTTGTTTCATGTAAACTTTTCAGGGGAAAAAATCCCTATTAAAAGTAACAAAATCTGCTGAATACCACACCGAAGCATGACTTAGACATGTTAGTGTTAATAAAAATGAAATTCAGCAATACAATGTTCTATTTTTCTTAGGTAATGAAGGTCAATGGGTCAGAATTCATAATACATCGGAAACATCTTGTTACAAGTAATGCAAAAGTCAAATATGAAAGTCCTATCTCCTCTCAATCAAAAGTTATAAGGAAAGATATTTTACTTTTGAAAAGGTCAAAGTCACAGGGCAAAAGTCATTGTATACTTAAAAAGGCCTTGTAACAAGTAATGTATATGTGTAATATAATAAAAGGCCCTATCTTTTCTCTTTCAAAAGTTACCAAGTACTAGTATATGTAATGTTAATTTTTTTAAATAAGTAGGTATAAATTTTCAAGGTCAAGTTCATTGGGCCAAGAATCATATTTGCAAATGTCTTGTCACAGGTAATGTACATGTGGAAAATGAAATCCCTATCATTTTCATTCATTAGTAATGACTATGGTTATAGTTTTTGTGACAGCAGAAGAGACAAACGAGATATAATTTCCCCTCACTTTCGTGAAATGGGGGATAACAAACAAATGCCATATCACACATTTGTGAAATGAATTTATTTCATACACCATAATATCTTTTTAAGAAATGGCTTCATTAGTAAAAGTTGATCATCTCCCTTGAAACTTGAACCCCCAGCCCCTTCTTGGTCTATAAAGTACTACGTACAATGTGAACTTTAAACCTTGGAAATCAGCATGAAAAATGTTAATGCGTCACTGTGGCATGAAACATTTATTTCCTGTTCATCATAATACTTCATTATGTAGCAACAAATAAGTACCTAACACATTATACATTAATGGATCAAGTTTACATTTACAATGAACCGGAATATCCCAGCTGTTGTTCAGATTTAAATGATGAATTTCCTTTTCGTAATGATTTTGGAGCAGCATAGGTTTCCCTTCGTAACAATGTACAGATTTTTACATAATAATTTTATAAGTTCGGTTAATGTAACTAACCAACTTTTCCAAAAAAAATTAAGTATTGATAAGTGTACAATGATCTTAAAATACAGTCCAAAAAAATATAACTTGGGCAAGGTGACCAGCACACACAGTGATTGATCTACATGTAACAGTATAAATTCCTACTGAGGTATTACTCTAAATTCTACCTTTAAAAATAAAATTAAAATATACATTTATTATTAAAAAAAGGTCACTTATTAATCAGGAATACATACTGGAAAGATTGTGACAGAAATTTTAATATACATAATAATTAAGTAGGAAAATGCAATCAGTAAAAAAAAAATATGTATATAAATCAACAATATACAAATGGAATGTAGTATTATATATAACATAATTCTGATAAACTGATAAACAGCAAAGCAATACAAACAGGTCACATGATCATCATGTGATGCAGACTAACACCTTATATATATATATGCAAGCACACACACATTCATACAGACGTTTTCTTAAATCTCGCCATCCCAAGTACCAAGTATTCGCTGTATGAAATATTACAGGAATGTAGAAGTAAATTATAAAATGGAAAGAATTATAAATTCTTTCTCATATTTAGCTTGGACAGCCGCAAATGTATCCTTTAGAATGTTTTTGTCAGAATGTCACACAGATTCATAAATCCATTCTAGAAAAATATATAAAATTTCAGAAAAATGAGATCAATATATTTAACCTCATCTTTACATGTACAATACAAGGAGGACATGCTTTTTACACATCCAATTATATATTATGACTGTCATTTGTGAAGAAAGTTTAAAGAAGTTTTGGGCTTACAGTCTGCAAGCCTAAAAGTTGAAGAACACACAGAAAAAGTGAAAAATGAATTATGTGGAACAATGAAAGACAACTCAAAACTTCTCTTACACACTGATTGTAACAACAGAGATGCCAAAATTAAAATGAATTGGGCAGACATAAATTCAAATTAAATCACTTAAGTGGAGTTGTTGAAAAGTTATGTCTACAAATGACACAAATTATTGCTTTACTTTATATACTAGTATCTGCTAAGTGAGGTAAAACTTACACTGAAATCTACACCTGCATTAAAGATTAAGAAAACTAAAAATGCTTAATTCATGGTCTTAATATGAAAACAGTTTTCAGTTCTTTCAAATCAAATGAAAAAATATTTTCACAACTGCAGACACACAGAGAAAATTTTGCATGTGCTCATTTGTGTACAGAAAGTCCTCCCATGCATGGTGTCAAAATTACAAAATCTATGTACATTTGCAAACTAGTGCCCTGTAGCTTGCTTAGCAGCTACAATTAGGGGTCGGAGAGTTTTAAGGTCTTTCGCACATTTAAGGAAGTCATGCAGAAGGAGTTCATCGGTATCGGCTCTCGTCTCCACATCCACTTCCAGCGTCCGGTCGATGAATTGCTGAAGTAATTTGGACAGCTTCTCAAAATTCTTAATTTCGGGTTTCCCCTTGGTTGCTATTCTATAAATAGCCTTCAGTGGGGTTTCGTTCAGATAGGGGGGTTCTCCCTCCAACATTTCTATTATCATGATTCCCATTGACCAAACATCCACCTTCTTACCATAGTGCTTCCTGTAAAAAAGGATTTATGTTGACAACTAATCATGTAAGGTATGCACTAAAAAGCTGTAGACAGTTTTTTTAAAAAAATGTACTGCTGCGTTGTTGATAAGCATTAAAAGAGAGGGAGATGAACAATTCAATTCTATAAACAGTATTAACACATACACATTTTAAAGATCTAGATTTGCGTATAAGTTAAGATAGTTTTCATTTGTATAATGGATATTCAAATAAACAAACTGAAACAATATCATAAGAACATTTTCAATGCTGGAAAGCCATTCTTACATGTATCAACTAAAAGAAGAATTATTATTGACACAATAAACACTGACCTGGATACGACCTCGGGAGCCATCCAATATGGCGTTCCTACCATTGTCTGTCGCTTTGAGTTATCTCCACTTAGCTGAGCACAAAAGCCAAAGTCAGTTAGTTTGACTGACCCATTCATTCCTAGTAAAACATTGTCACTTTTAATATCCCTATGTATAATACCCTTAGAGTGCAAATAGTTCAAAGCTTGTAGGCACTCCCGGGTTACAGCTGCTATTTGTCCTTCATTCATTATGGTTTCCGTAACAACGTCAGTCAGTGCACCACCATCAAGGTATTCCATTACTACCCATAATTCATTTTTCTCAGACAGGAAGTAACAATCCAGGAAGTTGACTATGTTTTGATGTCGGTAGGTTTTCATCACCTCAATTTCTGTTATAAGGAGCTCCTTCTTCGGCTGGTTGGTTAGATCCATAGATTTAATGGCTACCACTGCATCATGATCTTTAGGTTTCGCACTATACACACAACCAGATGCTCTGAAAAAGGATAACATCAAATCTTAACTTTACTTATTCTTTCCTCTCATGTCTTAAAAGTAGTCTAAAATGGATTGAAGAATTATGTATTGTTTAAATCTTCCATACATTACCTTCTATTGCTATTCATGTTACAAGTGTCAATTTATCATTACTGAGAGTTAATATATCAGAAGAAACACAACCCTTACCCTGCCCCAAGCTTCTTTGAGATGGTGTACTTTGCAGTGGGATCCCCAGGTGAAGCAAGTGCTCCTGAAAAAAAAATCCATTAGCTTCAAAAGATAGTTACAATACTATAACTATAGTTCTAATAATGCAAAATATATACCGTATAAGTAGAAATTTTAGCGAGGATTTGATTTTGGCAATATTAGCGAGGCTGTTGAGATCGCTAAAATTGAATATCGCTAAAAATAAATTGCGTGTTATTTGTACTAGCTTCTTAAAGGAGCATTTTAAAATCGCTAAAATTAATTCTTGCTAAAAATAAAATACCCATTTTTAAGGAGAAATCGCTAAATTTGTGTCTCACTAAAATTTCCACTTATACGGTATATTACATTCATCTATAGCAATTGCAAAACAAAACTTGACATAAAAAGGCAGTTAAGTTTACATACATCATAAAGTTAAGTAAAAAACAAACAATTAATTTAATTATTTCAAAAATACTCAAAAATTATTAAAATCTATAACTAGTAAGGTGCAATGCTACAGAAAAACATTACATTTAATTTTACCGCCGGTTGAAAATTTGGCCGGTTTAGACTATCCGACTGTGAGTCCAACACAAAAATGCAGGAAAATACTACTTTTGAAAATTTCGTTGTTTATTTACAAGTACTTCATACACATAATATAAAATATAATTTAATAATGAAATAAATTAACATTTTGGAGTCCAGAAATTATTAAATAGTCCCACATGACTTAAAGTATTTTCTTGTTTGTTCACGAAGTTTGAAAGTCGGGTGAAATGTTACTTAAATCAAAATCTAAGGCACGCATAATATAGGCCTACTATATATCAAGCGGTCTGGGTTTCGCTTGTCAAAGAGTTCCTTCAATGTATAAACAGTAATGCACAATTATTTACGATGTGCTAATTATTGGATTGAACTTTTAATTTTTATGTAAAAAAAAAATACGTCTTCCCCCACAGTGTTATGGCGCCATTTTGAAATGCGTTCGATTTTCGATCCCGATTATTATTTTGATTTGTAAATCACGTACATATATTTTGTGTTTATGTTATGATGTGGTAAAAGGAGTTAAAACAAAGTTATTTTTTTTAAATTGTAATTTAATCATATAATATATTTTTCAAGTGAGCTGCGTCACCGCCGCATTTCACAGAGTGCGTCTTATGGCACTAATGCTAATGTAAACACGTATTATCATTCCACCACGAAAAAATTGCTTTTAAAACTAGGTGTGGCCAATATAAATGATTACCGTTAATTATGACAGACCAGTTGGCCGTTTACAGAATAGACAGTATCCAGACTACACAGAATTTTTTCTAATGAATTTGTTAAAGAAGTGCATGGGACTAAAATTTATAGACGGAATGTAAAAAACAGGCCAGTCTGGTTCAAATTTTACTGTATTTCGTTATAGTGGAAATGGTCTAATCCTACAACTGTGTATAAATCTGACACACTGTGAATTCCAACATTATATTTTTTTCCCATTTTACTGCTTTCCATGTTTCTTTACCCTGTGTTATACGACATCCTGTCTATTCCAACACAAATTTGTCTTTCAGAGCCTGTCGGATTAGACAGGTCTTACTGTATGACAATCACAATAACAAATAAAGAGAACTAAAAACAGATAAAATGGGAGAAAAAAGACGCCTTACGCAGGCCTTCGTTGATCTCTTCATCAGACATGTTTTTCTTCTGAGACTTAGGTCGCCGTGTGATGACTTCAGGTTCATGTTCTTTTTCGTTGTTGTCAAGGGTAACATTCTTAACTCCATCCACTATATCACCTTTATGCTGAAAAAAGAAATCGACAAAGTCTTAAAATCACAAGCATGTGTTCTACATGTAAAGCAGATCTTCAAACATTTTACGTGCATATTTTGATTTTAAGATCCAATAAATATTCATTTACAAATATATATACATCATATACAGTGAAATTTTCAACACAAATTTTAATTTTTGTCACGTTCATCCCATTGTCAATGAATGATTTGATATAAATGGTTAATATATATCAAATGTACAAATAGTGAAATTTAAAATAACCCTGTATGCAGTAAATAATTTTAGACCTAATGAGAACAATATGTCAACACTGATATCATCTCCCTTAGCTTAGAAGATATATATGGCACGCCAAATTCACAAAAATGAGCTAAACATAGTTTCACAGTCAATAAAGTACGTTTATTGGTTATAAACTATAGTTTACGGACTGTAAACTATAGTGAACAATGTTAATCTATATTTTACATCTGTAAACACAGTTAACGCGATAATCTCTCTATACTTAACACCGAAAACAATCATTTTGTGTTTGGAGTTTCACGATTTGTAAACTATGGTTTACAACTCTTAACTATATTTAACGATCTGATAAGTAATCTTAACTATAGTTTATGATTGTAAATTATAATTTACAAACGTGAATCTATGTTTATCAACAAAATCTATTGTTAACGTTTCATTACAATATGTAGCAACATAAACAGTTAACAACCCTTAAATATAGTTTACAGATGAAAACTATAGTTAATGAATTGTAAACTATAGTTCATGGTTTGTAAACTATAGTTTACAGTCGATAAACCTGTTTATCAACTGTGAAACTATGTTTAGCTCATTTTTGTGAATTTGGCGTGCCATAGATATACATGCAAAAAACCTTAAGATTACCCCATAGATATAATATATTCACTTTTATGTGATTATCCACAAAAGAAATAAGTAATTTTATGAATGTTTTTCCAATTACTTTAAAATGTCCATAAATGCAACTTACTTCAGAATCTGAGGGTGTCCTCTCAAACACTGGTGACTCGACCGTATGAGGGGCGGGGGGTTGCTCTTCATTGGATTTTTTACTGCTGCGTTTCTCTTCGTCGCTATAATCTAGTTCGTCATCAGACTCTGCCACAGATTCCTGGATTTGCATAAACTTGCCCACTCCTGGTTTTTTCTTGACTGATTTGGTGAAAGTCCGCAGTGAATTAATCACAGCCTCTGGATTGGCTGCCTGGTCAGCCTTCCTATAATCAACCAATCAAAGTAAGTTAGCACTCATACACACTGTCGACTACAAACTTTCATTTTCAAATCAGAAATTTTTGCTTAAGCTTGAAATGAAGTTTCAGAAAGTTTTACAGTACAGAGAGTATTTTTGCTATCTTGAAAAAAATGTTATTCTTTTGACCTTTGGTTATGAAGAGTCCTCCAAAACCACCCAATAAGGTTAAAATATAACCCAGCATTATATATACATGGATTGCATAATTCAAATATGGTCCAATTGTTTTTTGTTATTTGAATTCCTGTATACAATTACATTTTAAACTAGTTCATTTCAATTTCTATTTAAGTATATCCGTAAAAAGGAAGAAATGAATACAATGAATGAAACAAAAGTACTGCACAGATATATTATGGTATTTGGAATGAAAGAGTGCAGACTGTGATATACAATGCAGATTGATCATAGAAGACACCCCCCCCTCCACGGCCCAAATTTCTTCTTGTACATGTATATATTAATATCAACAAGCTGCTTTAAATGCTCATTTCTAAACACATGGAATTTCTTAATTAAAGGGCCCCCTGCACTCAAAGAAATTTGTCAGTATTAAACACTTGCTTCATTAACATAAAATAAACATTGGCATAATCAATTGCAATTTTTAACAGTTGTATATGGATTCTTAAGGACAATATAATATTGGAAAGACTTTTTTTGAATATGAAGATATAATGTTGGAATACTTAAAAATTGGAACAGAAATTATAAGGAAGACTAGTAAATATTGATAAGACTTTTAGTTAACATGGTAAATATAAGATTTATATGACACACTAACATGATTAAGAAGTATTGATATACTGGAAAATAAATGATATACTACACGAATTATAGCATATATGAAATGGAAGATATGTTTAATAAGAAGACAAATAAATTGGATGACTTCGTATATATTTGAGAACTTATAATATGAATTAAAAAATTTAAAGTAACACAGGAAAACTTATATGTTGGAAGACTTAATTTACATATGAAGACATATGATATTAGAAAACTTACGATAGTTTGGAAGACTTTTGTTATAAAGGAAGTCTTAAGATATATTGGAAGACTTAAGATACATTTTGGAAGGCATTCGATATATTGGAAGACTTATAATACATATGAAGACTTACGATATTTGAAAACTTATGACAGAATGGAAGACTTGCACTTTATTGGAAGACTTTTGTTACCAAGGAAGACTTATGATTTATTTTGGAGGACACGATATATTTGAAGACTTATGCTACACAGGAAGACTTGACTCACAATATGTTACATAGGATGACTTGTGTTATATTGGAAGTAGTAATTGAAAGACTAATGAAATATTGGAAGATTTACATTACAAAGGAAGATTTATGATATATTGAAAAACTAACATAATGATGGAAAACATTCATAGGAAGACTTACGATACATCGGAAGACTTACAATAACTGAAGACTCACAATATAATTGAAGACTTACGATAGATAATAGAAGACTTATATAAAAAGACTTAGGATATATTGGAAGACCTAAGATACATTGGAAGACTTACGATATTTAGGAAGACTTACGATATATTGGAGGACTGAAGTAAAGCATTCCATGCTGGTGGGAGCCCCTCAAAATCTCCGGTTGCTGCGTTAAAACCTACGTGAAAGTTGTGTTTGACTGCAGTGGGGGGCCCAATATTCATAGCTGGGGCCGTGTCGGATGAGGAAGACCCTGAAGGTCGCTTCTTGCCAATCTTGAAAGGCATGCTTAACTGAAGCAGAAAGAAAAAGCAATAAATATGATTATAAAGCAAGAATTGTATACACTATATATAAATACTCGGTCTGTACCTCAACCAAATCATCCTTTATCAATAATGGGGCCCAGATCAGGCCACTACAGGAATTATTTTATTTTGATATAAAGATAAAATTATCAATAAGGATAAAGTTTCTTCTTGCTTGTACTGATAAGGAAAGATTCAGGTTGAGGTATGATTTGTGTAATACATGAGTACAATTCAATCATGCTGCTAAAGTGAAAGTACAATTTCATTATATCTTGCTACATATATAAATACAAGTACACTGTTAGTACAGGGGTTACAGAGAGCAGATACACCAATATCCATGGGATTTATACACTCGAATCATGATGCAAATGCAGGATTCCTGGAGTCAGAAACAGGATCAAGACAAACTCTCAGACACAGATCCAGGATAAATAAGGAGCGAATCCCAATGACAGCACTGGGAGCAGACCCAGAGATCCACGGCTGGCAAGCTACTTACGAAATGTCTGCTGATTTTAAGAGTTTTTTCCATGTCTCTGAGAGGACTAGATCTCCAGTCACCATGTCAATGTTTATGTGCAGGTTATGTTTGACCCCCATGGGGAAACCAATTTCGTGAATCTCTGAGGACTGAGCCGAATCTTGTTTGCCATGTTTCTCCGTAGCTCCAGGTCCAGAGCGACGTTTTTTGATCTTTTTAATGAAACTCATGCTCACTTCCTGTCTAAAGGAACTATTAAAAAATAGTTTCAAAATAATACAGTCTTATGCAAATGTACCCTGACTGCATATTATACTGTCTATATAAAACGAGAGCAAGACCATAAAAGCCATACATGTATTTCTTTTAAATTATCAGTGTATCTACATACTTAAGGTTCACAACTCTCTGATAAGAAAGATAACTCCCATTAACATTTCTTTATAAAAAAATAAACATAGAAAAGATCATAGCCTGGTCAAGCTTTGCCCATCAAGGTATGCTGAAATGGTATGTATGACTCTGTTTCACCAAAGAACTTATGACTAACTAAGACCAAAATATAATTCTACATATAATTTTTCTAATCAAAATTGTATTGAAAATCGTTTATTAATCTTTTTTAAAAGGATTGTATAAAGATGTTTTACACTAGCAATTTTAAACAGAATATTGCAAAACCACAGTTTTGAGTTTTAGTCTATGTTCTTTTGCAAAATGGGTCCCTGGTTTGGGACAAATCAATTTCTTTTTCATAAGAAATATTGTTAGTGTAAAAGTAAAATTTGATGAGTGAATTGAGGGACAATAAACTTTATATAAAGATGGAAATAAAAATGCACACATTTTCCATAACTGCAATCCTTATCAATATAATTCATTAAAATCCTTTTCTAATTTCATTAAACAAACCAAGACAAGATGTTAAAACCATGAACAGATTTCTACTCCAATAGACTTTGTTTGATAAGGAGAGATGCACACAATACAGGAAGTATACTGACAATGCCGGTTATCAGTGCACTGTAAAATAATTCAGCTTTAAAAAGACACTTCATTTGCATGACAAGGCTGTATGCTCTATAAAGAGACTGTGTCTGTCATTAAAATAAAAAAAACTCAACTTCCTTGATATAAAGCTCTTCTACAGTGAACTGTGTAATGCAATAAGATATCCCTTGAAAACAAATCACTTACTATGTAGTGTATTATAGTCCCTGGGTTTCAAAGAATAAATGCAATGTAATGACACAACATTTAATTCTATATGCCAGGCAGCATTGTAAGCTGTAATAAGTTGTTATCTGATATTTTAATCACACAAATGATAAAAAACAGAGGGAATTCTATCAAATAATCCAAAACACCATTTTTGAGAACTATTTCAATTGCCGGTTAAAGAATTCCGAGCAAAAAATTACATCATGATCCAAGTAGATAGCATTTGATAAGCGTACAGATATTAAGTGTTTTAAATATGACATCCCCCGTTATTATTTACATATAATTTAAAACAGAGCATGAATTGAAATGAAATCTACATTTTTTAAAAGTAGGCACAAGTTCAGATCCACCAGTCAAGGTTGAAACATTAACTGATATTACCTGTGTAGTGTATAATTCTCAATGTAAAACCATGAACACACAATTAGCGGAAGTTAATAGTCAACTTTTAAAGACATATTTGTTCCACATTTATAATATTGCCGTAAACATATTTATCAACAGTAACTTCCACAATCAACTTCCCTGAACAAACTTCTACGACAGAGTCACTTGTTAACTTGTATTTATAGCAACACCATGTTGGCATAATTGTAACACATACAAAAGTGCAAAAACAAGCTTGCATGAAATTCAGCAACACATCCCAGGGTCACAATGTTTCCTTGTAATTTAGGTTTTTTCGTTCCTGTAATTCTGTAAATTTTTTTCTGCTGTTTGATTTGATCTTCCTGCACACTAATTATCGAGTTGTTTCCCCGTCTTCTAAATGTTAAACATTCAAGGCGCTGGTCAAAAACTAAACTGTTGTGAATGTTGACACTAGTGATGTGTTATTCATCATGACAAGACCCAGAAAAACAAAGACTAACAAATAAAGATGATTTTAAGGTGAGACATAATGTAGATATATATAATGCTCTGATGCTGACACAATCCTTGAAGAGAATTCAAACTTGTGTCAATTCCATCATTCCACAACAGTGAATGACAACTTTCTTAGAGGTATCTAGCCAAGTAACAGCTAAGATACTATTTATATGAAATTTATGTATGTATAATAATTCTTCAACTTCATGTTCACTGTGCTTTTGACTATTTGATTCACCCAAAATTAAAAGAATATGCTAAGATAAAAGACCTATAACCAATAGTTAAAATTAAATGATGTATCTGATTCTCAGCTATACTAATTGTAAACTTACTACATTGCAATGACTAGGCTTAAGATCAATATTTATAATATCTACACAATTAGGTACAACAACAGTCAACCAGTAGCTGCACGGGCCTATCCAATAACTTCTTTCATTTAGTACATGTAAACAATCAACAGTCTTTAACTGTAAAATTTTTGGATATAATCTTCTGAAATTCTCTCTATAAAATTTTAAAAACACTTTCATTACGTTCATTATATCTTTAATCATGTGCCTTAATTATATGTTCATTTGTTCATGTATCTAATGCCTTAAATAATAATCCTGAGCTCGATTTCCTACGTTAATAACTGTAAACATACCATAAAACCAGCACTTCTACACCACTGAATACACTACTTACTACAAATTCTACAATGCTTTGTTACCAGTGTGCTAAGCACATCATAAATTAACATAAAAACACCAACATGATTGCCTAATCATTAACATGATAGAAGAACAAATGAATGAACTGAGTACATCTCCCGCCTGTTTTACTAGATCCCCTGGTTGTTATATTGCCAGCCTGGTGACAGACCGTTACAAGATGACAACTAAAATGATGAGATCTAACAGACCCCAAGGTATGGTATGACAGACACTGTAATGACAAAATACAGGTGGGGACTGCGTAGTACAGGTACTATTAAGGAGCAGGTCCTATCCTCAGCAACTTACACAGAAAAAAAGAGACCACAAATGGACTGTTGTCAACTTAAATGTATCTCCCCTTGAAAAAAATATTATACTTGATAACTGACCCAAAACAGACAACTGAAACATCTACTTCAACTGAGACAATTAATTTTCACTTTCAATTTTTAAGTACATAAACAATACATGTATCAAAGAGAAAAGTCTAAACTAAAGTCTGAATCCATAACTAGTTAGTACAATACTGTCAAAGATATTGAACAGACACTTGAAATATGGTCAGACTCATACAAGGGCATGGCAGGGTTCAAAATCAAAACACACAATGTGCATTATGAACTTATGAATCATTAAAACTAATTACAATTTCTCCTTAATTAACATTTGGCTATATAGATTATTTACATGCTGGTAACCCATCAGCTAGGATTTAAACATGATACACCATGTACACAGGCTTACATCCTCTTACCCAATAACAGGATTCACGTCTTAATTACTATCAACACTCACTCGCTCACATATACTTCAGTACATGTACCATCTCATTTCCTAAAATAATGTGAGTCAAGTTATATTGTTTAGATAGTTTAGATTTCCCTCACTGAACTTAAGAAATATTAGACTGTCCACTCAAATAACCAAGGCACCTGTCCAGGTTACAATACTTTAAGTCTTTAATACTTTTTCAGGATTAACCCCCCCCCCCCCATTTTTCATGAAAGCAAGGGGACATTAAATCGCATTTGTCTGTCAGTTGTCTGTCAAAAACCATGGTCATCAGATTCACTTTTAAATTAGAAGAGTTGGTGCTTTCATAGTTCACAAGAGCATTTAATACTTGTGAAAAGACCTTTCCAAATATACTATGAATTTTGACTCTGTGACCTTGTCCTTGAAGTTTTTCAAAATTTTAAATTATATTAAATTGATCATAAGTTTTGAGAGAGAAAGAATAAGGCTAAATTCATATCAAATATATACATATATTACCTGTGACAAGACTTTTCTAAATATGCTATGTTTGTTTTGACCCTGTGACCTTGACATTTGACCTACTTTTCAAAAACGTTTTCTTTCCTTGTAACTTTTGATTGAGAAGAGATAGGGTTTTCATAATTGACAAGGGTATAGCCTGTGACAAGATGTTTCTGATCATGATTTGATTTTTGACCCACTGACCTTGACATTCATGTTTGACCCAATCTATGTTTGACCTAATGTTAAAAACCTATAACTTTGGTGATAACTTTTAAATGACTTCATATTTGACACAATATGCCATATATAATGGCACCCCATCCACTAAGACTCAAAAAGCTGGGGACCACTATTCTTTGAATTTACTTGTTTTCCATATGTCCTGGCATTCATCACCATATTGCACTAATGAATCAACAGTTTCATAAGAAAAAGATGTGTTTGTGAAACAATGATGTCCCTGTATGGCAGTTTTTGGCAAAGGTAAAAGTTTTTCAAATGTTTCTCAATTGCAATTCAAACTCCAATGTCAAGAGATGAAAAATATTGCTACCCAAAGAAAGGACTTGTCTCAATTGATAAACCTTTGAAATATGAAAGTCCAAGCACTGACTATTTAAAAGTGATGGCCATTGTTGAAGTTTTCATGATGTGGGTCAAATTCCAAGGTCAAAGTCAAAGGGTCAATGTGAACATACATTGGGTATGGCCTAGGGCTGTCATGGGTACCTCAAATGACCCAGAACCACGGAACAATTAATTCAGGTCGGGTTTGGTTCTGTTTTTATGGAATTCAGTTCAGTTCCAATTTGTACAATAGAGTAGGTTTTACTATAAAAATGGCGTCTAAAATGAGAGATTCATTAGTACATTGCCATTATAAGGTGATTTAAATGATTTGGCATAATTGTTTTCTAGTCAGGAAACAACTTTAAACTAGTTATTATGTTGCTATTTCTTAGTTTAAATGAAAATAATTTTTTTGTTGTTGAATTTAATTTAATTCATGAGCTTTTATTCCATATTGTATACCCGAACCGAAAAACCTGAAACTGAACCTAAAAAATTAGAACCGACCTGACTCGAAAAATTTTGGAACCGTGATTAGCATGGCCTTATCCCATGGAATATAAGAAATATGCAAGTAAAATATGAAAGGCAACTGGTCTAAAGTTATGATCAAAGTTAAAAATTTTCAAAGGTAGGTCAAATAAGGATAAAGCTTTTCAAAAGTAGGCCAAGCTCCAAGGTCAAAAAGAAAACTCAACTTTATAGTTCAAGAACCTCTCAGAAACCGTTGTTTATCTCTGTCTCAGGCACATGCACCAATTAACCCCTCTAATGAGAGGTATAATTCTGATTTGGATAAATGACTATTCTTCTTTGATGAAAATTTTGTAACATGCTGAAAATGCAGAAAGGCCATTTCTAAATTTTGTCCTGCACAGTATACTTAGAGGGTGGAAATTTTCTGTTCAATATATCAATCAGATTTCTTTTGAAAAAGCATCCTAACCAATTTCAAAACAAAATATTATCCGAGAAAACAAGGGGTGGATAAACTTTTTTTTCAAAACAACTCAACATGTTTATATCTTGAGATTTTCAACATATTCAAGCTTTCATTAATCAACACATTATCATTAATCAACACATTACAGACGTACACGTACCATAATCCCCCCCCCCCTTTGATTTGCAAACTTGTTTTAGTCTAAAACTCAATTCAATTAATGCTTTAATATACTGTAAATAGGGAAAATTTTACTCCCCTTTTATTTTTGCCCTGTTTGCCTTGCTTTCATCAATGAAGAATTTATATCTGAGGATAAAAATAGCTGCAGTCAAAATATGTTTCCTTATTTACAAATTATGGGCACTCAAATGGGGGAAAAATCAGACCCCAGTTCATAAGTAATTGATAGTCTCACCAACCAGTGATTCTATTATCTTAACCAATCATCCATTAAGCATTCACGACTTTATTTCTACCACTCAGCAACCTCAAAATAAAGGACAGACACTTCAGTAAAAAGAGAAAATAACATGGAGTGTATAATACAGTATATATTATATACCATGATAGTACTTGCCCGTCTTTTAATACTAGACATCCTAGTCTCCATGGTAATATGAGAGTAAATTAAAGTCCAACATGTATTTGATATAATGAACAGGATGAGGACAAAGGAGAGAGTAACACTAGATACAATACCTAATCGTGAATTTTCCAGTTCCTGAACTCAGACCTCAAACTTCCTTATAAGGGATCTGCGCGCACGACTTGTGACATCTGCTCAAAATAGAAATCAACTGTATGCATATATCTGATCATAAGTATGTGATATGTATCGTAGATAAATATCAAAACTTATATTTAATGAATCCATTATGAAAACAGTGTGACTGACTTGTTTGGGGTTTCTATTTCTATATAGTGGTAAAGTTTGAGATATCTGTTTCGGTTTGTTGTGGAAACATTTCTCTAACAATGTTGAATCTAATTGCGTAATAACAAGGAAATTAAATGACAAACACTTACCAGTGATAGTTCATCTAGTATGGATACATGAGTAGTTTTCAAACTTGTCAAAAATGTGCAGACTTTCTTTTTTGGGCAGTTTCATTACTTCCTGAAATTTATTTCCGGAATTTTTTTCCCACAATGCATCGCTCGAAGTCAATCTAAGAAAGACAACTCTCTCTCTCTTCTGAATGTGACCATGGGATTTCGATCAAATAATATAAAATAGTTTTTTTTATGCCCCCATAAACGAAGTTTCGGGGGTATATAGTTTTTGTCGTGTCCGTCCGTCTTTTTGTCTGTCTCTCTGTCCGTTTGTCTGTTTGTCCACCAAAACTTTAACCTTGCCCATAACTTTAGATTTAGTGGAGGTATGACTTTCATATATACGTACAAATTAATGTACATTCTTTGTGACAAGACCTTTCTTAGGGTACCACCAAATTTGACGTTTTGACCTTGACCTTGGAGTTTATTCCACTTTTACACAAAAAATCCAAACTTTTACTT